AGGCCCCCGGAGGCACCCGAGCGCCGCCGCTCCCGCGGCTCGGTGACCACGCCGCTCCGCGTCCGCCGCATGTCTCCCTCAACCGGGCGCACAGGCCTCTCAGCTCTGCGCGTCCCCGCCGGCTGATGCACGTCCCCGCCTCTGACAACCTGAAGGCCCCGGGGGTGGAGCGCTGCGCTCCGGGACACGCGAGCTCGGGAACCGGCTGCTGCGGCCTGCCCGCAACGGGAGAGCCTGGGCCGTGTGGTCTTAGTGTTGAGAAGGGTCTAACGGGACCGCGCCTCCACCTGCGCTTGCAGGTAGCCGCACCCGCTGGATCTGCGAAGGTGCTTCCGTCTCCACTATCGCCAGGACTTCCAACCGTTCTTTCCTGACTTGGGGAGGCCTAGGTCAGGCCTAAGTTCATTGCCCCATCAGAGCTGATAAGCTTGGCGATTTCGCTTCCAAGGTGGTGACACTACCAATGTGCTAACGTATGTAAGTGGTCTGGAACTTGCTATTTGAAGCATAAATGACAGCTGGAATCCGTTTGGTAATGGATTTTTGGTTTTGATTTTTGTTTTTGCAGAACAGGGAGTAGGTCCTACATAATTGTGCAAGCACTTTACACTGAGTCACATTCCCAGGCCCGGATTTCGTTATTTTTAAATAAATGAATGGATCCAGGATTTTACTCTGTTCTTACGCTTTTGTAGAATACGATGCTGGAGTTTAAAGAAAAAAAAAAATCACAGGAACCCCTCCTCCAGGGCATCCCAGATAATTTCCAAAGCCTTTTAGTCACTCTTACACTTTCAAAGAAACATTTTCTGTTACTCATTTTCTTGCATTTTTCCTTTTCAACTTTCTTCTTAGTTGTTTTTATTCATTCGTACATTTGTTGGAATATAGAATCCATTTATTTTCAGTCTTTGTAACAATGAAAATGTTGATTATAGATTTTTCCTAAGTATAGCTTTATCAATTTATAAATCTTCATGAAGTTTTAACAGAGTTCTCCCTTCTTAAAACTTCCTAGATACACAATTTGTTTTGCTGTTTCCTTTGATTTATAGTTTACATAAAGTGCCCATATCTTAAATGTACAGATTTACATCCACCAATTCAGATGTGGCACATCCTAGCACACTAGAATATCTCCAAAAAGAAAACAGAAGTGACCCCTATTTTGACTTTTATCACCGTAAATTACTGTTGCTTGTTTTGTATATTTATTTAGAAACAAGGTCTAAGTGTGTAGCCCTGGTTGGCTTGGAACTCACTATGCAGCTCAGCCTGGTTTTGAACTCACGGAGATCTGCCTGCCTCTGCCTCCCGATACATACTACATTTCAAAATATTTATTCAGGGAGGAGAGCCAGCGCACATGGAGAACAGAGGACAGCTTGCACCATCAGATCCCCCTCCCACCAAACAGGCTGTCTGGTAACACTTACCTTTACTCAGATGCTCTGACTTCTGGAGTCTGGGTTTCACTTTGTAGCCTAGTCTAGCCTCAGATTCACCATGAAGCTAAGGCTGGCCTCACACCTGTAGCAATCCCCCAGCCTCAGGCTCCTAAGTGCTGGAATTATAAGTATGATCCACCACAGTATTTCAAAAATAGCATCTACACCGTTAAGTATAAACCATTCAATGTTTTGGAAATCATTCTGTATGCATATATTGATGTCAGTATTTATGATCTGTGCTGATTAGTTTTTGCCAAAGTGACTCAAGCAAGGGACATCTGGAATGGAACCTCAACTGAAAAACAGAAATGCCTCCATCTGATTAACGGGTAGGCAAGCATGTGGGTCATTTTCTTGATTTGTGACTGATGAGGGGGTGGGCAGTGCTGGGCAAGTGGCCCTGAATTCTGGATCATATAAGAAAGCAAATCAGGGCAGGAGTTCAAGTCAGAACCTGGAATTAGGAACTGAAGCAGAGACTATGGACGAATGAGTTTTTTGGGTTACTTTTTTTTTAAAAAAAAAAAAAATACAATCCAAAACCATCTATCAAGGGCTACACGGTCCACAGTGGGCTAGGCCCTCTCACATCGATCATGAATAAAGAAAATGCCCCACAAATTTATTGTCTTAGTTAACTTTTTATTGCTGTGATAAGACACCATGATCAAGGCAATTTATAATAGAGTTTATTGGGGCGTACTGTTGCAGAGGGTTGGAGTCCATGACCAGCATGGCAGAGAGCATGGCAGCAACAGGCGGGGATGGCACTGGAGCAGAGCTGAGAGCTCACATCTGGTTCAGAAGCAGCAGGGAGATAGAGAGACTGGGCTGGGCTGGACTTTTGAAACTTGCACGGCCAGCCCTCATGGCACACATCCTCCCACAAGGCTACATCTCCTCATCCTTTCTAAATGGTTTCACCAACTGGGTACCAAGTGTTCAAACCTGTGTCTATGGGGGCCACTCTCATTCAGACCACCACACTTGACTACCCACCAATCTGATGGGGGCATTTTCTCCACTGAGGGTCCCTCTTCCTAGATGAACCGAGTTTGTGTTGACACAAAAGCTAACCAGAACAGTTTGATATACACTCTCCGTGTCTTTGCCAGACATGCATGTGAAGGGTGCATTCCCCAGTGGCAGCTTGTCTTTCCACTTCCTCAACGCCATCTTTTGATGAGTGGAAATTCTTTATTTTGACGAAGTTCAACTTGTAAACTCTTTTATGGTATTTTAGTTTCCATAGAACTCTGCCTACCTTGAAGGTCATGAACATTTTCTTGTAAATATTTCACAGTTTAGTTCTTGTACTTACGTCTGTTTTCTATCTTAAATTTTTATTTTTCATGATTTATTATTTTTATTTGTGTATGAGTACTTTGCTTACACTTATATACACTGCTTACATGCCAGTGCCCACAGAAGTGAAAAGGGAGTGTCAGATCCCCTAGAATTGGAACTAATTATAGTATGGATGGTCATGATCCTTCACATGGGAACTAAACCCAGATCCTCTGCAAGAGCAATAAGCGCCATCTCTTCAGCTACCTCAAATTAATTTCTACATATGGTATATGTAGAAGTCAAGTTCTTTTTCATTCCACAAAGATATTCAGTTGTTTAATCGCCATTGGTTTATTGAAAAGATAATATACACATACACACTGAACTGCATTCGCTGTCAAATATCAACTGATCTGTTGTGGAACATTATTTTAACTAAAGGTGTGTTATATTTGTTTATGCTGCATTTGTTTAATTATGTAATGATGCATGTTTAATTATGTAAAGATATGTCGCAACTAGGGAGCTGGAGAGATGGCTCAGCAGTTCTCCTAGACGACCTGAGTTCAGTTCCCAGCACCCACATGGCACTTCACAACTGCCTGCAATTCCAGGATGTGACACCCTCACAAGACATATATGCACACCAATGCACATAAAAGTAAATAAGTTATTTTTTAAAAAAGATATGTTGCGACTGTTTCACCTTGCCTGCCTAAGGCACCTGACTGGTCTAATAACAAGATGAACAGCGAGTAGGCAGGCAGTAGAGGGATAGGTAGAGCTGGCCAGCAGAGAAAATAAGTAAGAGGAGGGATATCTAGAATATCTATGGGAGGAGGTTGGGAGGGAAGAGGGAAAGGGGAAAAGAGAACAAGAAAGAAAGAAAGAGGGAGCCAGCCAGGCAACCTCTAGTCGGCTAGGACATACAGAATGAAAGCTAAAACAAACAAACAAACAAACAACAACAACAACAACAAACAACCCTAAGTCAAAATGTAGATAAAGAGAAACAGGTTAAATTAAATTGTAAAATCTAGTGGGGCCGGGTGGTGGTGGCGCACTCCTTTAATCCCAGTACTCGGGAGGCAGAGGCAAGCGAATCTCTGTGAGTTCGAAGCCAGCCTGGTCTACAAGAGCTAGTTCCGGGACAGACTCCAAAGCTACAGAGAAACCCTGACTCAAAAACCAAAAATAAATAAATAAATAAGATTTTTTTTAAAAAAAGGAGGTAGTGGGACAAGCATAAGCTAAGGCCGAGCATTCATAACTAATAAGTCTCTATGTCATGATTTGGGAGCTGGTTGGTGGCCCAAAAGAGAGCATGCCATGCTGATCCATTACCTGGAGTCTATTTTAACCTTCCCTTCTATTCCATTGCTGTATTTTACCCATCCTCACTCACACTGATACCACTCTCTTTAAGTCCTTAGTTGTAAAGTCAAGTAAACTTCCTCTAAATTCAAATCCCCAGCACCATGTAAAAAGGTGTGTGGCTATTTCCTAAACCTGGAGGGAGGGGGGAGGACCTTGGACTTCCCACAGGGCAGGAAACCCTGACTGCTCTTAGGACTGGAGAGGAAGGGGGAGAGGGAGTGGGGGGAGTGGGAGGGTATTGGGAGGAGGGGAGGAAGTGTAAATTTTTATAAATAAATAAGTAAATAAATAAATGGTGTGTGACTGTAACACACCTGTAGCCCAGTGCTGGGGGGTGAGACAGAGACAGGAGGATTGCTGGAGCTTTCTGGCCAACAGGTTAGGTGCAGGTTTAGTGACAAACTATCTCAGCGGAACATCAGACACTTCCCTCTGGCTTCTGCATACACACACGGGTGCTCACATGCATGTACACACACACAGAGAACTTGTGTTTTCTTCTTCCTTTCCCATTGAACCATGCCCAGCTCCCCTAAGGGAGCTATTTGACTCAATCCTGAACCTTTACAGTAAAGATTTCTCATGTGTAGTTTACCACATGTTTAGAACTGAGCCTGCCTAAGGCTGAGTTTGTTGAATGATTAAACTACCCACTTAGCTATATAATTACAAGATCAGTTGCACACAGTGCCATGCTCATCACTTCTCTAACACAAGTATCAATTGATTAGACCATGTCCTCAACTAGTGTCATGGCTTTTAAATGTTCTGAGCACTTGGTTCTAAAATTGTCTTTCTTTTGCCCCAAAATGTGATGAAATTTTTGTCTGGGGGATATAGTCTTTGATTTCTTGTCACACTTTCTCTTCAAAACATGCACATATTATTCTACTTTCAGGCTTTAAGTGCAGCAAGTGAGAATTCCCACACTATTTTTCCCTGCTTTCTTTCATAAAACTAGCTTCCTCCCCCAGTGTGAAATCTGTACAGGTCTCCTTTTACTCATGGAGTGCAATACTTTTTCTAAGATTTTTTTTAACAAATTGTGTCAGTAAGATGGATACCTGCTAAAACTTGATAAAGA